TACTGAATTAATGTGTTTGTGTTTACATTGTCCCTGCAGCACAAATACAGGCACAGGAGGACTCAAGTAACAATAACATATGTTTCATTTAAAAACATACAACTTGATTACAAAAAGTAACAAATAAGTAACTAAAATAAATATGAACTTAATGTTAACATTAGAGTAACTGACTTAACTCATACAGATGAACGGCATGAGAAATGTCTTCACTACTGCTGTTTAGTTGAGGAATGCTTTCTGATAAGTAGGGTAAAGCATTATTAACTCAGTAAACCTGTTTAACAGGTTGAATACCAAAATTCAGTGGATGAGGAGAAACAACTTTAAAAAAACCACAGATTTTGGAAAACTTATCAGAGATGTGTCTGTTACGGCATTCACTGTTATATAAATATACCACAGTGTTTGCTTTACATTATGTGGAAGTGGCAACTGAGGAGAAAAAGAAAGTACCTCATAGGAATGAAAAATTTTCCCTTCTCCAACAAATGATTTATATGGCAGCACAAAATCTGAAATATTGATAGCTTCACTGTGATCTAATTATTGAAAAACATGTGCTTTCACACACTTTTGTATGCATTTTAAATTAACAACTATATGTTGTTATAACTAACTTTATTTAAAATGGTGATATTTAACTAAATTAGCACCTTCTGCCCAGGAATGGCATGAAACATAACTCTATTCCTTTGGATTGGCTGGGACTTCTCCAGTCAAAGCTAAATACACTGAGTCTGTTACCTGTATACATACTAGCATTTTTTTTGGTGCACACTGGAAGGGTTTAGTATGTTCGTAACTGCATTGTAATGTTGTTCAATTTCATAAAGCCCAAAATTGACTTCAAGCTACTTATGAAACTGGATTCCAATGAAAACAAGTATTACATGGATTCCCAGTGAATGTCACCTGATGACTCAATTTGAAGAGCGGGCAAGATACAACGTAAAAAAATTCTAGATTGCTGTAGACACATGACGGAGTATAATACAGCAGTATTTAAAGGACAGCATTAAAAGGACTGTGATATAAGGTAAGAGAAAAATATTAACAAACACACCAGCACATAGGTAAAAAGTCTGAAAGAATCCTGTAAGGTTTAAATGCAATGAGCACAACCTGCCCTCTGAGTTTGGAATGCAGCTTAGTTTGGCTCCTGCAATTAAGTAAAGGGGAAACAGAATGACCTAGTCTCTTATGAGGCTGCAGTTTCTGCAAAGTACATGGTACTCTTGATACTATTTTGAGCTAACATGTGCAGTTTTAACATCTCACTCTACATTAGGAAGCTGACCCCATTGAAGAAAAAAAAAAACCCACATCAAAACCTTCAGATATTTAATAAAGCTGACAAAACAGGGTTTTGCTCTGTCCAACTCAATTAACGATAGGCTTTGTATGAAACAACAGCTCGATGTTTTATCTTCTAGATTAGTAACTACCACACTGAACTTAAAATGCTTAAAAAGCCATGGGGAGATCCGCACCGCCCCACAGAAACGATACCTTCAAAGAAAAATGCAGAGAGAACAGCTAGGGACAGTCTAGCAAGTACTAATTTAAGAGGGGTGTTTCCTTATGGGGAGGAGAAGAAGGAAAAAGAAAAAGAACAAGTTTATTTTTGCTTAGATAAGCGATATGAAAGCAGGTTTCCCCACAGCCCTCTTCGCTGCAGCCAGCC